GAGAGGATTCATCTAAGACATCTTCAGAATGCACACTTAATGTTTTTGCACGGCAAAATACGGCAAACGTGCGAAGAACAAGATCGGCCTTAACACCGGATGTTTTCTCCTTGTAGCGCTTCAAAATGCTCTTTAATTCCGCTACTGTTAATGACCCCAAATCTTCCAAACACTCGACAACTTTTCCTTTAGGAAGCAACGATTGAAACTCTTCCATTTCAAGATCTTAACTGCTCAAGTTTAATCAAACAAACGCTTCTAATTTTCCAAACAAGATCGGTGCTTCGATAGTTGTGCGAAAATGCCAAGGCAACTGGAACATCGGTATTCTCGTTTTCAATTTCGCACCTCGTTTTAAAAACCCTTTTGACGTCATTGCGAAAGTGGTCTATTTTGGTTTGCAGCGCGATCAAATATTTTCAATAATTAAATATGGTTTAATTAAAGTAGTAGAATAAACATGAAAATGATCCTTGTTTCTATAATTTTTGAATAATCTGACTACCGCGGATCCGCCACTGACGTTATGATTTTTGACTTTGGTTTCAATCCTGGGTGCTTGATTCATGAATGTCGGGGTAAATTATCCTTTCTGAGCTCTTCACTACAGTAAACACATTTTACTAGACTTTTGCTGCCGTTTTTTCCCCACGATGGCGCACTCATCACTCATTGCTTGATTGCTTGACGCAAAATTGGCCAGAGATCGATTATTTTTCAAATTAACAGAAAAGCATGGACTATAACAATACTTTTGAGTTAGGGCCGGGTTGAAAATTTTCATGGGGGGGGGGTGCAAAACCAGTGGTTTGCCGAAAAAATGGGCGTGGCAACATATACGGGCGTGGTTATCAACTATTATAATTATCATTGATAAAACTCGCGAATATTCTTTCGCAAACTGCTATATTTCAGTTTTGCTGAGTGTCATAATTGCAAGGTGGCCAGCAAACCAAAAGATCCCGGTTCAAGGTGTGGCAGATAAACTTTTATCAGCCACACCAACTAATGCGAGAAAAGGCTCAAATATGATCAGTTAAAATCAATTATTGACCGTTGTGGTTCTCTATTTAAATCAAGGATTATATGTATGGAGTTAAAATCTGCACAATAACAGCAAAACAATGGTTCCATTTGTAACTCTAAGAAACTCTAATAACAGTTCAAAATAACAATCCTAGTCTGACAATTTTTGCAATATTTTCAAGCGAACCTAATGTATATAAATGTATATATATATGAAGTATTCTGAAATTGAGCCAAGAAAATAATCAAAAATTCAACCTGCATGTTCTTTTCTTTTATGTGTCATCGTTTCATTTGTCTAGGTTAGTATCTTGGCTTCAATTTGAAATCTAGTAACCTACAAACTTATTCACACTAAAACATCATTGAGAGAACTTAAAACGATACAGATTCCTTAGTCTGTACCAAACTTTATTATTCTAAACACGTTGTTCATTTAACAATTAGCAAACAGAAATACTTCATTATAACTTTTAAGCATGCACCTTGCAGAGGGTTTCAGAGAAAAGAAAATCTTAAAGGGCAGCAGGGGAAGGTCTTTAACTGTTGCTTACTTCTTTCAAGGAAGAAACTTTCGCGGAAATAAATTTTCACGGGAAGAAACTTGCGAGAGAAGGAACCTTTGCGTTTTTTAGCGTTTATGGCCTAAAATCGCGGATGATTGATACGCAAAACTTCCTGAAATACTAAATTTGCGAAAATTTATTTTTGTGAAACATCCAGAAAATTTTGCTGTTGATCCTCTTGAAAATTTTGACGAAGAATTATTCTGTTGGACAAATTTTACATCTTTTTTGTTGTTTTGCTGGTATCGTGTGGAATAAAAATAGAAGGAAACCGCAATTGAATAGAAATGTTTTGCACGCAAAGTCTATGATTTTCGCTAAAACGCGAAAGTTTGTTTTTGCAAAGCTCCCATTTCGCTTCTTTCGCAAAGTTGATTCTAAAAATTTGCCAATTTGAGAGTCCTTCTTCCTGCGCAACTTTCTTCCCTTAAAGTGATACGACCCTTGGAAGGTCATTATTAGCTAGAAATGTAACAATGGCGACTCTAGACAACTAACTAAAAACAACAGCTCCTTGATCTCTACATACAGTTTCAAATTATTTCTCTAGGAAGTAGGACAGATTTGCCGTTGTGCGAAATTTGAAATAGAATTTCTGTATAGTGGATGTTGGTCATAGTGGGGCCCTTTGGCCTGCGCGCAGACTTCATTTTGATGCTTAGTTGTGAAGCCAGCACGCATGCTAGGGGCCTTGGCTGTGACAGTAGTTTCCAGTTTATGAAAGTTATCTTCTCCACCTCAACTTTTGCAGAAAGGGCCCGTAATTTTCTTTACTTTACATGTCTGAGGGCCCGATGGGGATCGCCACTTTGCCACCCGGGCCAGACTGCGCCTGGCCTTTAGCACGAGAGAGTTTGAACGATCATCCATTATTCTCGTTAGGTTTTCATAAATTTCAACTGTGACTGGTGCTGTCATCAACAACCGATGATATCTATTTGAAAATGGCAAAATTCTCTGTCTTTCTACTGAAAATTTGCCAGTTTCCAAGAGGTTGACGACAAAACATTCATTTTCGAAGATTTGCCGACAAGGTTAGCGTCTGGGGGGTGTCACACACCGCCCCCCCCCCCCGTAGTGACGGCCCTGTTTTGAGGTATTGACTCAATGCCGACTTCACACTTAAGGTAGTACTTCACACTTTTTTTCCCAGGTGCGCAAATTTCTTTATCTGCTCATAAGTTGACAAGTTCTACAGATATGGTATTGAAATTTTCAGAGTAAATAGAATAACTCATGATCTTTTCAAAAAATTGAGTTTTGACTTAAAATATTAAAATATGCTAATTTATGCAACTATTTCTCGCGGGTGACTTTTTTTCTTAGGCAGGTGATAATTTCCACAAAATAAGAGCTTTTTTTTCAAATTGCCAGAGAATCTTTGTATCATGATTTCATGTGTTATGAATAGACAAAATTTTGAAATTATTTTCTTAACATGTAAATATTAGGAAAAACACTGTTTCCATGGTAACTGCTACCATCTTTGAAATTTTGTAAAATTGTCTATTCATTGCATATGTTTATATCTTCGCCAGCTTTATTGAAAATCTCAAGTAAATAACTCAAGTTATACAGAAGATATGTTCTGCCCAAATTGAGTATGTCTGCAAAACACAGTTTTGAGAAAATCGCATTTGAAGTTTCAAAGGACATTGTCATAATAATAGCAGTCTCAAAGACCCCAATAATTACTAAAACTTAAAATGGTTCTTCCACAAAAATAAGGCTATTTGTTTGGTTAGTTTCTAAAATGTTGTTTTACTTTCATACTGGTCTTATATGTGCCAGAGGTAACACCATCTCAAACATCAGTTGTTGCTTGAACAATTGAAAATGAAGGTTCCCCAGGCTTTTGATCCAGCTTCTGTTTTTTATCTTTGCCCACAACTGGCTTTCCTTTTCTCTTTAAACTGTTTGACCTTTCTCCCATGCTATCAAATGCTCCAGAATCATAGTGTTTATTTTAATGTGTTTCTACTGAGTTTCTTTGTTTTTATCTTGTTCAGACGCCACCTTCGATATTTTTGTGAAACCTTCTGGGATGTACAATGATCATTTTTGTACATCCAAAATTTTTGTACAATGATCATAAAAGTTCCTATGACGATCTTCTTACTAGGTCAAAAAAGTGTACAATGCGAGTTGCTCGTCAGAGAACCCTCTGTATCGAAATATTCAAGACAATTAGAAATTTGAATCCACCTTTTATGCATAGCACTTTTAGTTCAAGAACATTAAAACATCCTTCTCGGAATCCTGAAAACTTAAATCATTTTCGACCAAACCAAGTAACTTTCGGTTCCAAGAGCCTTAGAGCCATAGGACCTCAGATCTGGAAATGTCTGCCAAATGAACTAAAATCAGCTGACAATCTTAACAGCTTCAAACGTATGATGAGACCATGAGATTGTCCTAGCTGTAAATGCAACGTTTGCAAATATAATGATATCGATATCCTGTAAATTTTGTCCTTTCATATCCAAGTTGCTTCAAATTTTTAGCTTATGTACGTACGTATTTATTTCCTTAGTTATTTCCTTTTCATTTGTTATACAGTTGATTCGATTTACATTAGTTGTATGTGTATATATCCATATATATATATATGTATCGCTAGAAGCAATATCGAATTAAAATAAGGTTACAAACAAACATCGTCCAACATGGGTGGCCAAACCGGCCCAACATTTATACCCAACATTCTTGAGATTTGTTGGACAAAATGTTGGCTGGTTTGGCCGGAGCTTTAGGAAACACTGCGAGAACCTTCAAATGAGAAATTTCAGGCCGGTTTGAAACTCACGCCGGCCTGAGTTCAGTTCGGGTGTGCTAATTTCTTTCCCGTTCACGCGGATATTTCAAATCAGTTGGAATGAATTTATAAATACTCCGTTTTCACACATTCAAGAATCAGGCGCTGTAACAGGAAGTTTCTCAAGCAGTTTTAATGTCAAAACAAGGTACAGGCAAATCAGGAATAGGTGTGAATCTCAGGGCGGCGCGAGTTTCAATTCGCCCGAAGTACTCAAAGGGACTTGACCAAACACCGAATTGAACTCAGACCGGCGCGAGTTCAAACCGGTCTGACATTTCTCATGTGAAGGGCCTCTCAGTGCCGAAATTGACCGCAGCATTAAAAACTTGAGTACACTATTTCGACCCTTATTTCTCATAAGAAAAAGCGTAAACCAAACGACAAAGCAAAATACGAAAGTTCCGTATTTTTCACTTTACCCATGAATAGGTTAAATTATTATGCTGCATCAATGTGGTTGTCGAATTGACATATAAAATTTTGACGCAAACGAAGAAATGGTCTTTGAGTCAATCTTGACCCTTGTTTCTTGTAAAGAAATTGTTGTTAGTTTGTTAGTGAGAAGAAAAGACATAAGTAAAACACTGAAGCCACAAAAATGTCTGCTGTAATATAAAAAGCTAAAGAAAAACGTGCTATCTATAAATCTGTTCAAAAAATGCAATTAGCTTAGAGAAAAACGTTCCTCTTAACGTCCTTTTAAGTGAAGAGTAAAAAATTAAAACCAAGCTCAGAACTGATTCTGTCTCTTTAACGTCTACTATTGCTTCTTCACGACCTTGATCAAGGAACGCAGTTTACTCAAGAATTCGACCTTTGCTTTATTTTCAGCGACTTTAGCCAAATGTACGAACTCCAACAGCCTAAATAGTAAGAGAAAAGGAAGGATTTTACTCAGTTAACATGTTACTCGGTTAACATATTACTCAGTCAATATTAAGTGATTGGATAAAGATATACCTCATAGCAACAGTCTTGAAATGAACCACTATTGTCGGTAATTGAAAAAGCACCTAATTTTTTCTTCATTGACATCTCCGTTGGTAAATTTTACTGCTGACTTCCCTCCACCAAGAGCTGTAGAAAAAGGGGCTCAGGGGGGCTGCACCCTCTCCCTTTTTTTATGGGTAATTTTAAAATATATTTGGCTTTGAAAAAAGCAAACATTTAGTAAACTAAAGCTTTTCGTCTGACACTCTTCAGAGTTTAAAACGTCAGAACATAGATCGAAAACTCTACGCTAAGGAATATATATAACCAGTTGTTCGAAAAAGGCCATTCAGAAATACGAGCACATGACGGAAAAATGTTTGTCAATTATCCGCCCCCCTGCAAAGTCTGTTTTCGGAATTCATGATCCAATAGGTTTATCCCTTCTTACACAATTTAGAGTTGATCTAAGCAAGTTAAACTATCACAAATTCAAACACATTTTTAGGGATACTTTAAACCCAACGTTCCCCTCCGAATGATGGCATTGAGGATACGGAACATTTCTTGTTGGAACATTCGCCCTTCTTTCACTGCTCAACGACAAGATCTTCTTGCTGGAGTCTTGGACATATTATGACCTCTTGGACCTACAAACCTGTCAAATAAGGCTCTAACTCAGCTTTCACTACACTCTTTTTTTATAAGAACCAGTAAATTTAAGTTCAGGCTGACTGTTCTTAATTTTTTCGAAAATCTGAGGCTGGATTATTCTTAATTTGTTCTTAAATTAATAGGGTGTAAGCATTGCTATTGCTAGCTTTTTCGCTCTAAGGAGCTGTTCAGGCCTCATTCGCCAACAGAGTGAGTGAGACAGCCTAAATTTGCTGACAAATTTGAATATTCACAGAAAAAGCACCCACACATCGCTAAAAATCCTCGATTTTGAGAAAAAACGTTGTTCAAAGTTGCATTTTGCAGAAGCTCAGCCTCGGTATGTTCTTAATTTGTTCTTAACTTTTGACCAGTTTTGAGGCTCGTGTTTTTATAAAATTATTCTTATAAAAAAAAGAGTGTATATGGCAATGAAAATTTCCCTTATGGCGTCAATAAGAACTTTCTCAACTTGACTCTGCAATTCATCCGCAATACGGTTTGAATAAGGTCATTTCAATTTACATTATACACCACATAACCATTTTTTTTGTTTTCTGTAACGTATTTTTATTTTTATTTCCTATTCTTATATTTATGTGTATAAATGTGCAAATGTATATATATATGTTAATGCCCTTGGGGTAGACACAGTCTTTTGCTTCAGGGGGGTTTTCGTCCCAGTAGTATTGTAAAGTAGTTCTTGTTAGTAGCATAGACAGTATTATGTATTGTTACTTTTTATTGGAGTATTAAAAAACAGTTTTGAAGGTCTAGCTACGCCACTGCTTATTCTGGTTTGGTCTCTGCGATTTTCACCCCTCCCCCCCCCTAGACTACCCTCAATATAACGGTTTACCTTATATGGTAACGTTTTGTTCTGTTGTATTTTGACAAGCGAATTCGTGAAACCATTTGAAAGTTTTTACATTAATTCCAAAGAACACTTAAATATCTTCGATTACTTACTACAAAAAATGGTCTTGAAGTAAAATGTTTTTGTTCTGGGGAATAAATCAGATCAATAGTAGAAACTATAAAACGGCTAGGGCTACCTGAACAAAAGATCTAAATATCTAATTATCGGGTCATCTAAATATTAAGATTTCTTGACCTAGGCGGTACCCAAGAAAAGGCCGCCCAGACCTAGCTCAGTTTCCCTACTGGACCATCGATAAACATATATTAATATTGCTTCAACTGACCTCACAACAGGTTTGTTGGCAGTGCAATGACATTTTAGGCTCATGGTCTTGAAGTATGGTTTCACCAATTTGATCAAAACTTCAGGATTCTCTTTAGCCCTGTCATATTGAGCTTCATCAGCAAATGAGTTAATACGTTCACGAGATTGATCTCTGCTTTCTTCTGGTTCGTCTCCCAGTACATGTGGCACCTTGCAAGTGCAGAATCTATTTCTGCCTGAAACGAACTGGCCCATATCCACTCTATTCACTGCGTCTTTTCGTTTCGAGATATTTTCTTGATCAACCTCATCCTCCTCGTCGAAGTCTTCAAAAGCTGCTTGAAACAAAGCACGTGATGATTACAATGAACGTCTCTCATTTAATTGCTGCATCTAAAATGTTGTCTTTCATCTATTTGGCCGGAACCTCCGACGCGGACATGCTGAGGGTACCCTCCCCCACCCGACCTGACAATTACAACTCAGCTTTGCCTCACTCTTCTTCCAGAACTCCCCCTCCCCTTAGTTTGATTTGCGTTCCCCAGCCACCGCTCATCACTGTACACGCATAAAACTGTTTTAAAGGATAAATTCTATCAGAACACTGTGGCTCGTAATTCACGAAATTTAATAATTAATTAAGAATATCAGCCAGGCTCAAATTTTATCAACATCTCAAGTTTTTATCTAATGGGATTTTTCACACTAAAATTATAGAGGGCCCACCAAGGGTGTTCTACTATGTTCAATTTATTAGAAGAGCTGTTAGTACTCTCTAACTAACCGGGACATATATATCTATAGTGTCCCAATACACGCATTTTTTATAAGAGACGATGGGCTCAATTTTTTTAAAGTTAGGAAACAACCCTACCCAAATTGAAACAGCTAAGAAACGTTTATAATTTGCAGTTTTAATTTTCCGAGTTGACACTCGAAACAGTCTCGACATTAAACATCGCTGTATATTGCAACACTACTCTTGACATGCATCTTGCATTCATTCTCAGTAGATTGCACACTAAGAAGTTTTAAAAATTTAATTTGACTTCATCTTGACATTGATGGAGCTCAATGAGCTTAACTGTTTACAGATCTCAACAGAGTTAGTCATTCGAGGAAAACAAAATTCCTCGATTACTTTGTTAGTTTATCTCTGAATGTGAGTGAACTATTTACTTTACCTTGGAAGCACGTTTAAAGATTTCATTACCAAAGAGATTTAAGAAAAATGTAAGAAACACGGCTACTCTCATCACTCTGAGGGTAAGTTTTGTCACGTCAGGGGCTCGAAGCACGGACCCAGGGACACCGGAACGACCAAAGGGCAAGGGACAGGCTTAAGTAGAAGGGCATTTGAAAAAATTTCCAGCTTCTGCTAATTCTTTTGTAGCTGTCATTTCATTTCGTTGTTCTGCATACATCTTGAAAGTATGGGCTGACTTCAGTCTTGTACAAGTTTTCAGAAATTTCGCAATGTAAAAAGCAGTACAGCCAGGATTTTATGTGAGTCTCGGTACTAATTCAAAAAGCCCGAGAACAAGGGCAATTTTATTTAAAGGGCACTTTGTCCCTTTCCCCTTCTATCAAAAAGCAAGAAGGGCGGTCCAGACCCCAATTTTTCAAAGCATGCCCCCAGATTTTTTCAAAAACTTGTATCTTAGTCACAGATTTATTCAGACGGAAACCCTGCAAAAAATCTTAGTTATATTTTATAATCGACAAATCTCATGAATTTACGATTCGATAACGCTTTTTATGTAGTGAGCTTATAAAGGAAATTTATAATAGTTTATATAGAGGCGCAACTTGCGGTTGTGGGGATCCCCTTTGGTCTAAAATATCTAGTAGTTTATGTAAGGACAAACATAATCAACACTGTCCTTCTGGAACAGCTTTTATGATAAGGAAATGACCCCCTCGGCGGAATGAAACTGACCGGTACATGGTAGTAAAAAGGGGTGTAACTCGAATTTCCCTTACCTTCTTCAGGGTCTTCTTCCTTGTCCTTTTGAACATGGGCAGCTAAAAAGGAATTGTCAGTTTTAGGTGCAAATATTTTAACTCTTTGAGTGGCGTATGGCAAAAAAGTCGACTGTAAGTCACCTTTCAGCGACTCCCGAAAATAAATTAATGCCGTCACGTTTAGAGAACGAAGAGGCAAAAGAAACACAGAACAACGAAAAAAGTTGCAATGTTGGATTAGAAGACACATAAAACAGCAGACACGAGCCTAAAAATTTGTAAAAAATTAAGAACAAATAAAGAACAAGCTGAGGCTGAGCTACTGTGAAATGCAATTTTGAACAACGTTCTATTTAATGCACGAGGATTTTTAGCCATGTGTATATGTGGATTTTTAGCTTTCTCGGTGAATATTCAAATTTGTCGGCAAATGAAGGTTGTCTCAATCACTTTGTTAGCAAATGAGGCCTGAACACCTCCCTAAAGCAAGAAAGCTAGCAATCGCACTGCTTACATGCTATTAATTTTAGAACAATCCAACCTAAGATTTTCGAAAAAAATTAAGAACAGTGAGCCTGAACTTGAATTTACTGATTTTTATAAAAAATTGTTCATCCAACATTGAAACAAGACTTGTAAAATCTCTATTGAGCTAAATTTGTCATATCAATAATATATTTACCACAGGCCATCAAATATGATGGGGTTTTTATCAAAAGCTAGAAAGTTGCCTTACTGTAAACTGCTGCGGCAAGTAGAAGAAGAATTCCAACGAATTTGAGATCCATGTCGATTCTACAATAAGAATGGAGAGCAGTTTCAGAAACTTGAATCTAGAAATAAAATACTACTCACACCCAATGTTATTGAAATAAAAGCTAGTTTCATTGCAAGAATAGCAAATGTCAACTTTGTGTCACGACTCATCTGTAAATTCTGTCAGTTTATAAATTCTATAACAAAAAACTTGCCTTTCGGTGTTTCACGATGCTTAGAAAACCGTCGAGTAAAACAGTTGCACTAAAAGCCCTTATTTATACTTTTTAATAAATTGTATCTTATTGTCTTCAAGATTCACGTCATCTACTTTTTATCCAATAGGATTTGTCTTTATGGCTCGTGTTTTTTTATTAAAAAAATTGGATAACCTGATTTAAATTTGGGTTGTGAAGTTTTTCATGCGAACCGAAATCTTTCAAATTCGCACATTGCTGCGTTGGTATGAATATTTCTCTGGTTCATTTACCGCGCAACCTTTGAAACCGTCTTTGCTGCGGTTACAAAATTCCATTTCATTGACATGGTACCTAAAACTTGTTGTATACTTTATACTTTGGACCGGGCTGTGCAGGATTTAGAGAGACAACACCATATTATATCAACATAAACTTTAATATTTATTTAAAACCAAAAATCACTATTCCATCACCGCATGTTACAATCTCTCCGCTATACTGATTTTATTGCTGACGTGCTGCGTTCTAATTCGCTGCGCACGCCGCTGCACAGTACTATTATGGCTCAACCGTATCTTCGTTGTTAGGAGACTTTTCGATGTTCTTACCTGCATGGAGTTCTAAAGCAATCAGGTGTTTGGTTGAACGAGTAAATTCACGTTTACCTCCTGTTTCCATTGGGATCTCAAGCCTTGTCACTCTTACATACCCGTCTTTTCCTGGTAACGATTCTGTAATTTTTCCCATTTTCCAAAATGTTTCGATTTAAAGACTTCCTTAAGTCCTACAATATATTCCTTTTTCCAACGCTGAGTGAATCTTGCTAACAATTTATGATGGTACCTTGCTCTATTGGACAAGGCTTCGTATGTGCTAAGGATTTCTGCATGTCTATGGTTAGAAGCTTGTGCTAAATTTTGTCCATTTATAAGTTGTGACGTTGTCAAAGGATACGATATTCCCCTTAAATCATCATAGATATAGGTAAGTGGCCTTGAATTTATGACAGCTTCTATTTCGACTAAAATCGTGTTTAATTCCTGATAACTTAGGAATGTGCGTCATATATTCTTGATCAAACAACGTTTCACGCTTCTAGCTAATCTCACCAGCCACCTATTCATGGACTTTTTTCTACGATAAATTTCCACCTGACACATTGACTTGTGAGATGCTCATATATTTTGGGCGAATGAAATAGTTTCTTTACTTCCTTTGACATTGCCTTATACGTCTTGGCATTGTAACTCATGATAGAGTTCTGACGTGATGACGTCACAAAAATCTATTTTTAGAATATTTTAGTTTGGATCCCATTGTAAACCTAAAAGAACATCATGAAATACCTCTAAATGTGCAAAATCAGGCAAGTGTGTTACGAATTGGCAGAGATATAGCCACATGTTTATTGGTTCTCTCCCCATCAAACCTCTGTATTTTGGTCTCTGTTCATAACTTGATGAACAGAGCGAAAATAACAGTGATTCGTTAGCAAACTTCAATTCTTTCATTAGCCATATCTCAACCGATTTTAGACATATTTGGCCAATTTTGCGTATTTGAAAGTATTTCATGGTGATCTTTTACACTACATGGTTAAAATTCAAAAGTTCTAAAAATAGGTTTTTGATGACGTCACACTTTAGAACTCTATTAAGGTGCCAGTTACACTATTAGTGTGGTGGAATTACGATTTACTCGGACAAGAATAATAAAAAGCTGTAATTTGGCACATAGGTTTCATACGATACTGATTCCTTACTTGGGCAAATCCCATATGGCGCACTGATCAGCAGGGGTTCAAATTTTGAAGCCGCTAAAATCACATTATATGTACATATTCTGAAAGACAGTTTTATGCTGAATAACTTTTATTCAACATACACGCCCTTACAATGGGGAAATAAGTACTTTCTGGTCAAAAATAGCAGATAGGGGGCAACTGGGCAATAGAATGTATACAGTGGTGGCGCCAGGGGAGGGCTAGGGCGCTACTGTCCCTCCATCGGAAGCATCTAGCCCCCCTATCGGAAGAAAATTTTAGGTTATTGTCGGATCAAATTTGACAAAATAACGTACAAAAACTGCATATTATAGTTAATTTAGCACCCTTGTTGGAAGCTCTAAACCCTCTCTCTGTCGGAAGATTTCTGGCACCACCTTTGAATGATGGTATAAGTTTATTTATGAACAACTTATATATTAACAAGATCAAAAAATGCGATGATAAAATCCTGCTAAACATTTTGAAATTTCTGCAATCCGTGTATTATTTTGTGAAAATCTGCATCCAGCAAGTGTGTAAAATTCCCTTGTTCTGTTGAGAAAAAGCAAGATTTCCGCAATCTACGACAAATTTCCCTAAAATTCTGTTCTTCCGCAAACACCAATGACATCTTCATTTGGAGAAAAAAAGGCAAAGATCTACCCTGTGCCTTGCAGACAAATATTCTTACTGGTAATAACTGCGGGACAGTGGCGCAGAGAGGGGGCAGGGGGGGGGGGAATTTGCCCCAGGGCCTCAGCCTGAAAGGGGCCCCGAAAATTTTTTTAAAATGTCTTCTTTTGAGAAACTGAAATACGTTTAAAGATATATTTGTTAATATGGAAAATGATGGCAGTAATTTCATTGGGTCCGTACACTGAGTCTTGTTTGAATTTAAGGCCTATTAGCTTTATTTATTGAGTCTGGGGCCCCGAGAAAAGCTGAATAAACCTTAGATCACATATTTTACGGATTCATTTTTTTAGCTGAGTTTCGCAAAATCGTACTTATTGGGGGAAGGGAGCCCTGATAAAAATTTAGGTAACCCATATAATCTTGTTTTAATCTATGGCCCGTTCAAGTGAGTTATTTTAGCATTTAGACTCGTTGCAAAAAGCTATATTATATTTTTAGGGCCCCTTTCAGCAAACTAGCATGAATAAAGAACCGCTTACGTTCAACAATGACTCAAGACAGACTATCAAGCCTTCGTGACTCTTTCGATCGAGCACGAACAAGCAAGACAAATTGATTGAGACAATATCATTGATTAATTTGCAACTGAAAAAGCAAACGTGCGCAAACGTTTGAAAACAATGGGCGTTTCCTATTTCATAAAGGGCGTGGTCTCGAAATTTTTTTGTATCCGACTCTAGGGCCCCAACCGGGACTTTGCCCCAGGGCCCAGGCCACCTCTCGGCGGCCCTGCTGCGGGACGAAGGTCTTTTAATGCAGAACACGGGAAAAGGTGAGCCACGTTGAAGTATATATATTTGTCTAAGGATTTTCCAATTTCCAAGTCTGGGTTTTCCGTTATTCATAACTATTACCGGGTTTTTGGTCATAGGTACTCTCAAAACACCCTTTTTTCATGTGCGCACTTCTCAATTGAAAAGTTTGCAATTTTTGGGATTATACGAAATTTGGAAGTTCTCTCTTTTTCTGGTAAAGAAGGGCATAAAGGGAATATTACTGGCCCAGCATCAAGCTGTAGTTTTGTGGAGCCACTTTGAATTTGCACTGAATTTGGCAGTGTTTTTTACGTCTTAGTAACAAATATTACTAAGATGGACGATGTCAGAATTGAAATCTTCATCTTTAAATTAGTTTATAATGAAAAAATCATGTTGTTTGGACCGTTCGGTCGCGAGTTACTTTGTTTTGAATATTTAGATATTTCTTTAGATTTGACCGGAATTTGCTGCTGCAGTAAACAAATTTCACTAGAGTCAGCCCGGGCTGAGTGGGCCTGGGTTGACTCAGCCCGGTCTGATTGGTTATTATACTTCTTATTAACATCTTTGTACCGCGCGCTTTTCAATATTCACTCGTCCCACTTTGTTTCTTCCCAATCACCACTAAATTTGCATATTGTAAGGGTACGTATGTTAAATGAAAGTTATTCAGCATGAAATTATCTTTCAAAAGATGTACATACTATGTGGTTTTAGCAACATTAAAATTTTGAACCACTCCTGATGAGTGCGCCATTATGGTATTTGCCCAAATAAGGAATTCCCAATGTCCAATTGATGGGGCTTTTTTCAAGTCATTTCCAACTTAGTATAGAACATCTGTGCCAAATTACAGCTTTATGTTATTTTTATCCGAGTTAGACCGTTTTTATATCTAATTCCACTACACTATATACCGGACTGCTATCGGACCGGAGTAACTTTCATATCGGATAGGGGTTTGAGTTACACTACGCCACACCAATCCGATACACAACGCTCTGATTAGCGGAGTGAAAATCACTCGCTCTGGAGGTGATACGAAAATCACTCCGGAGTCACTCCGTAGCGGAGCGTTGTGGTGTAATCGCACGAATCCGATATGCTCCACTTTAAAACAAAGGATTTTCTTATTGTTTTCTGCTTGACGCAATTCGATCGATAGTGAACAATGGCGCTTTCTGGGATTTTGTTGCTGTTGGATAATGCCAAATCGAAATCATCAAAACATTTTCGTATTTGGATTTCATCTCTTCCCGAATTTTAATGAAGTGGCCCTTGGACGAAAAACATTCTTTAACAGATCAGATAGCAACACAATCTCGCTTTCAGTACTACGAACACTTATCTCTCAATTTCATAGCTATTGAAAACGAATTCGCAACAGCACATATATTCGAACATATCATCAAAAATTTTAATCTGGTGGATTTTGTGTACCAGAAATTCAAAGGAATACAGGCTTATGAGCGAGCGGAGCGTCGTAGTGTAGCTGCTACCCTAAATATCACTCCGGAGTAAAAGTTACTCCGCTTTGCTCCGCTCCGATAGCAATCCGGTATAGTGTAACTGTAGCCTAAGACCCCGTTCACACTGTGCCGGAAAAATTTTATCCGCATCAAAATTAGTTCAGATAGGCGTCCCCTTTACACTAGACCCACCCTATCCGCACGAATTTGAGAGCGGCTATCCGAACAAACTGAGTTCACCTAGAAAAGTGGATGAAATTAGTTCGGGTAGCTATGTGGTACAGTGTAAACGCTTTTATCCGCATAAATTTCATTCACATCGTATCCTGCTCGAAAGCGATTGGCTATTTCATTCAATTTTGTTTTCACTGTCTCCCAGTCAAGACCGTTCGCCATCTTGGCTGCCTTGTTGTCGATAAATACTCGTGTTAAAAGTGCAGTATCTTGCCAGTCCACGTAAA